TGATGATGTTTTGGATATTACACCTTTGAATGTTGACACACCACCTTTGAAGAAAACTGTCAAGATTTTTTATGGTAAAGCTCCAATAGTTTACAAGAAGAAACCTTTCAAAACACCAGTAGCATCTTCAATAAGACCAACTTGCAGTGGACCAGTAAGTATTAAATTATACTCAACATGTTTTTCCTATAATGATCTTCATTTTTATAAAATATTTTTGTGTTTCATAGGTCAGGCCTTCAAAACAGAAGAACAGAGTCAAGAAAGTTGTTGCTATGGGTGTTCCGAAAAGACAAAGTGACAGGCTAAAGATCCTAAAAAAAAAGGAAGTTGGTGGACCTCGAAGGAAGCATGATGATCCTTTTGTCATTAATGAAGAGGATAGCACATCAGACTTGCCTATTGGTGGAAAGCATTCAAAAAAATGAGAAAACATTTGCAAGGGAATGACTCAGTGATGAAGACATGTAGACTTTATTATATGTGTGTTTTGTGAATAATATGCTTTTTGTTATGAAGTTTGTAATGAACAAAGATAGTTTGCAATGTGTAATGAGGCTTGAACCACTGACTAATTTGATGTAATGACCAACTTATGTTAATGTCTTAGTGAATGTATGACATTTGAGAGTTTATTGCTTTTAAGGCCATGTATGCCAAATTTATATGTCAAACTCTCAAAAGTTTTTGTCAAAATTATATGTCAATAGTTTCTGCATTTTATATCCCAATTTATGGCAAAGTTATAGGTCATACAAACTGCATATCATAAACCAATTGATGGCCAAGTTATAGGTCATAATTTATAGGTCACTTTATGTGCAAATTATGGGTCACATGTATGTCTAACTTTACATGTCACTTACTATGCTAATTATAGGTCATAAAAACTGCATGTTAATACCAATTTAAACTTACAACATAAAAATATCATATGATCTCAATCTTAACCACAACAAGGATCAATTTTAATAAAATACTATTGCAATTCATAACTCACAGTAACATTACGTTGCACCTCTAAACAACTTTACAACCATTACAACAATAACATAAATACCATAGTGGAATTAAACAATTACAATTCCATATAAAATACATGTTGACCATTACAGACACAACAAGACACCATGACTTCAAATTTACATGCAATGCATCTGACTTCATCTTCATATGCAATTTCTTGTTCTTCTTCAACAAATTTTCATACAGCTACCTCATGGTTTCAACATCATGTATCTCTCTCAACTTGCTCTTGTTTTTATTCAATTCTTCATATAACCTTTCATAAGAAGAGGTTCCTTGAGAAATATCATCATCCCGGATAAATAGGTTACAAGTATCTTCATGTTTCCACAACGGAAATCTCCAAAATAGACGACCTTCGTTACGTTCATTCTTACAGTGATACAAAATCAAATGTGCATCACACGTACACCTCAATGAAGTGTGACTTGTGGATCTATACGATGTTGACTTGCTTCTCCTTAATGAAGATGACATTGTTGCTCGCGCATAACACTTGATGGACTATTGGGCTTGAAGAAGATGAATGATAGTGTTTATTGAAGATTAGGGTTAAGGGTTGATGTTTGAAGAAGAAGACGAAGAAGATTTTTGTGGAAAAGAATTTGACTGAAGATGAATGAATCTAGGGTTGCAAACGTACCTATTGTCGTTTTATTGAACAAAAATGCTACGTGTCAAAGAAAAACACAGTTGGCATGACACGTCAGCCACCGTTAGAGGAATCTAACGGGAGGGGGACCAATTATGGTGATGGAATATTTTGTGAGGACCAAAGTTCGAAGAAAATTTTTGTATAGACTAAAATTGAAGGTTGCCATATTTATAGGGACACCTGACATATTTAACCCTTTCTTAAATTTTCTATAGATAATTGTTTGAATTTCTCATTGTTTGAGAAATTACCATATATATTTTTTGGATTATCTTTGAAGGATTATTTGAATTTCTCATTGTTTGAAAAATTATTGAGTGGTCAACCGATTATTATTGAACTCTCTTTGAAGAACTATTTAATTGTTTTCTCTCGTTTGAGAATTTATTACGACTAGTCTTTATATCATATACTACGAGTGGTATTTATACCATATACAGTTGCTATTTGTACCATCAAAGGGTGTAATTCTAAACAATTATCTATCGTGAAAGTAGTACGTACAATATATAACTGAAATGTTTTATCCTAAAGACGTCGTGGTTGAGTGACTGTTCTACACAATTTTAAATAGTACTGCAAAATGTCTTAAAATGGGTGATCTAGTCTACGACTCGACCCTGTAATTTCTTCAATGGTCATTTTTCTAAATCGTGAAACAAAAATTTAAAGACGTTTTCAAACTGTCATGGATACCGAAGAAATTATTGATACTACAAGTGATATTTATACCATATACGGTTACTTTTTGTACCATCAAAGGATTTAATTCAAGATCAATTATATATTGTGCAAGTAGTACATACAATATATAACTGAAATGTTTTATCCTAACGACGTCCAGGTTGAGTGGTTATTTTATACAATTTTGGGCAGTGCTGCAAAACATCTTAAATTGGGTGACATAGTCTGCGACTCGACCCAGTAATTTCTTCAATTGCAATTTTTCAAAATCGTGAAAAAAAAATGTAAAGACGTTTTCATACCGTCATGGATACCGAAGAAATTATTGGTACTACGAGTGATATTTATATCATATACGGTTGCTCTTTGTACCATCAAAAGGTGTAATTCTAGACCAATTATCTATCGTGCAAGTAGTACATACAATATATAACTGAAATGTTTTATCCTAAAGACGTCGTGGTTGAGTGACTATTTTACACAATTTTGGGCAATGCTACAAAATATCTTAAAGTTGGTGACCCAGTTTGCAACTCAACGTAGTAATTCTTCAATGGTAATTTTTCAAAACCGTGAAACAAAAATTTAAATACGTTTTCAAACTGTCATGGATATCGAAGAAATTATTGGTAGTATTAGTGGTATTTATGCCTTCTACAGTTTCTTTTTGTACCATCAAATGGTGTAATTCAAGACCAATTATATATTGTGCAAGTAATACGTACAATATATAACTGAAATGTTTTATCCTAAAGGCGTCGTGGTTGAGTGACTGTTTTACACAATTTTGGACAGTGTCGCAAAACGTCTTAAAGTGGGTGACATAGTCTGCGATTCGACCCAGTAATTTCTTCAATAGAAAATTTTCAAAACCGTGAAACAAAATAAGATGTTTTCAAACTGTCATGTATACCGAAGAAATTATTGGTACTTCTACGGCTACTGTCTCTGACAAACCGTTCAAGTTTATGAAAATTACTTCAAACACTGGTAACAAAAGATGTAATTTGTTTTAACCCTAAAAAAAGATTGTCAATGTTCTGATTGATGACATTCTTATTGCTCCTTTTGAATCAACCGAACAAAGTAAATCGTATGTCTAAATCCTCTCGATTCTCTCAAAGTCTCTTTAGTCACTTTTCTATTCTCTTGGGTCATCTTATTCCACACATCATTTGCACTTCTTTGTGGTTGTCCAAATCATCTCTCTAAGACCGTGTGTTGAAAACTTCTTTGTTTTTTACCCTTCAAATGCCACAACTTGATCTGTGGCGCTCCCAAATGACTTTTTTTTCTCTTTACTATCCCCTTTGATTATTACATCTATAACCAATATTCTATGTTGGATAGTCAATTATATATCTTAGAATAACTTTACATGTGATAAGATGTTCATCTCTTTTTTTTAAACCAAATATTTTTCTACAGTAAGAGCCAAAGCGATGAAAACTTCAAGATGGATCTATCCTCCGCATTCACCTCTCCTAGATCATACCCCTATGCACACTCTCAAAACCACGTGATATACTCATTACGTGTCAATTTAGATCACCTCCTAAAAAAAGCTTCTCTCTTTGAAATATATCTTGAAGTGGTAAGCATTCAAAATCCTCCCAAAATTATACTTTAAGGTATTTTACTAACTCAACTCGAGGTGCGTAAGCACTAATAACATTAAAAACATCTTTTTTTCACTATAAATTTCAAGGCTATGATTTGATTTCTTACTCTTTTCACATCCACAATATTCTTCTTCTACTCCTTGTTCACAATAACCCCCATCTCATATCTCGATTGAACTTTTTCAATATACTAAAACTTAAATTCCAAATTATCTAATTCTGTTGTTTCATTTGTCACAATATAATAGTTAATTTGTTTCAATAAAACAAATTTTAAACTTAAAGGAATTTGCTTAAGAACAAATTTTAAACTTAAAGGAATTTGCTTAAGAACAAATTTTAAACTTAAAGGAATTTGCTTAAGAACCGCATACTATAATACAAAATTAACCAATAATATTAACTGATGAACTAGGCAGAAGAATCTGGTATCATATACTATATGATATGCACCCTCCTTCCACACGTACATGCGCAATAAGTGACATATAGCATCGAAATGTAGAGTTGAAATTCAAACCTGATATAGCTACCTACTTAGTTGAAGTTTAACAAGAGAATGTAGTTGGTTGTTAACATCCCTGAGAGGACTAGAAGGGACAAAAATCCAGTTACAGATAGATAATGCTGTATGTCTATCTCAATGACAGTTCAAAGAATATTGGCACACACAGACTCCTCACCACGATCTCAATCCCTCCTACCTCATTTTCAACTCATATATTTTGATAACCTCACGCGGTTCCAATATATAATAATAATTAAACCAATACTATATGATGATAAATAAATAAACAAATGTAGCTGTGTGGGCATAGATTGAGACTTTGTCAGATGCTAATTATTGCCAATCATGAGATCTTTTCATATTTAAGGATGAACTCATTATTCCCTATTAATCTATTAAACTACTACTTAAATAGTATACATATTTTCCACTATATATTTGTCTAGTATAAAAGATGGAATAGTGATCAAACACTATAACAAGTGGAGAGTTTTTTCTACAGAAAATGGAACCTGCTGAGCTTATTTCTCAAGAATGGAGTTCTCTTAGTGGACTCTACACTGCTGAAGAATCTGACTTTATGAATCAGTTACTTGGTAACTGCTCACCCCCGCAACACCTCTATCAAAACGCCGATTCCGGAACTGAAGCTGCATTTTGGCCAGCACATGATTCCACAACAGTTACCGTCACTAAAAACAACAATTTGAACTTTGCTGCGCAATTCTCTAATGATACTAGTTGCATCAACAATACAGTTACCAGCTTTGAGTATATTTCTATGGGACTTTCGGTAAATGATTCCAAATTCAGTCCGTATACAACACAGCCTAATGAAAATTTTCTAGCTAACAAGAATTTAAAGTCCCCGGAGGAACATGAAATACTAGTTTCTGAACCAGAAGAGAACACGGGAAGGGAAAAAAATTCGCTGAAAAGATCTAGGAGCTCGAATGAGGTAGACAAACACGATGCCTTAATCTTCTAAATATTTCACTTACTACTGTTTTTTTTTTCTCTACCAAATGATATGCATTTCCTTTCCTGCACATTTTATGATTTGTGTTTGATTTTCTAGGTCTCCAAGATCAAGAGGAATGTTAAATGTAGGAAGAATATGAGATGTGCTTCTAGAAGCACTGATGATCTGACCTTAATCAGTTGTTGTTCAGAGGATGAGTCCAATTCTTCTCATGAGCTATATGGAGGGTCATGTTCAAGTTTGAGCCAGAATGATTCCTCAGCTATGAAGTTAAGTGGTAAATCAAGATCTAGTCGAGGTCCTGCTACTGATCCACAAAGCCTATATGCAAGAGTAAGTCCTCTTTGGAAGAAGAGCACTCAATAAACTTATCCAATTACTAGCTAGTTTCTATATTCAGTTGTAGTATATGTAACACCGACACTTCAGTTTGAAGGCGTGTTTGGTGTCTACCGACACATGTCGTTACTTTCAATTATTTTATTAGAAAGTATTTGCAAATTTGTATCAGAGTTTTGTAAGTTGTTGTCCATGTAACGTGATGGATTGCCTCATCTCTTACCATGATTTCATTTTTGCAGAAAAGAAGAGAAAGAATAAATGAAAGGCTGAGAATCCTACAAAACCTTGTCCCCAATGGAACTAAGGTAGCTATCTTTCTCAATGCTCATACTGTTGACAAATAACGGGATAACTAATATGTTGAAAATTCTTAAGTTTTTTGCTTCCTTGGTGAAACCTGCAGGTGGATATTAGCACCATGCTTGAGGAAGCTGTCCAATATGTTAAGTTTTTACAGCTTCAAATTAAGGTAGCAACTCGAGAGGATTGTCTTTTCTATGCATTCAATTTTCAGCCCAATGCAAAAAAAAAAAAGAGTAAATATTACACCTATGCAAAGACAATTACTGATAGTTTTCTTCCATACATGAATTTAACAGCTTCTAAGCTCTGATGATTTATGGATGTACTCTCCCATTGCTTACAATGGGATGAACATTGGACTGGAACTTGGTATTACTCCAGCAAAAGAAACAAAGGATATGCAATAGCAAAAGAGAATGCTATGCAGCAGATTAAGAGACTCTGATTTCATTTTGTGATTTTTTTTGCTGTCTTTAGTCTATTTGGCATTTAATCCTTTTTTTAGACAGAAAATGACAGTTATTTCTTAGCAAGTATGAAATTGATTACAAAGTGAGTCTTTGCTTCTGAATTATGAGATATCAATGTGAGTTGATTTCAAAATAACTCCATCTACTTTTGAAATTTAAAAAGTATTTATCCATAATCATGTGTTAGATTCTTTTGATAGAAGTTTTATTCATTATTGTTATTTTTCTATGTATCCACTGAATTTGGATCTATTGTGATCCTTGTAACAACTTTTGTGTGTAACAGTTAGTTGTTTTTGGATACTTGAAAAAGCCTATGAAATAAGAACAATTGTCCTGTGTGATAATTGTACCCTTAATTACACTTGGTCCTCAAAGTATTGTAATGTTGTGATTTTTAAGTTTACCCCCTTGAGATGTTAGTCCCCCTTCCAAATTCCCTCAAAATTTACTCAAATAATAATCATTTATCGGCATAACACATAATCGTCATTATAAATTTCATTCCCTCTCGCGTGTTCGGGTTGACAGGGTCAAAAACGTACAATCGTATTTTCTCTGCACTTGACCAATAGGGATCCATTTAATGCATGGCAATCACATCCTGAAACTTTTCTCCCTCATTTTGCATAGTACTGTCATGTGTAAATCACACGAGGATCCATCCACAATCGTGCAACCATTAATAAAGTGAAGGAAATAAAGCAGGTACACCCGGAAGAGCAATGGAATAGTATCAAGATGTTATCTGAACTACAGCACCATAAGTTACAACATTGTGCGTGGAAGATTACATCTGGTAAACAGGATCCAGTGAAATACACCTCTGAACTTCCAAGTATACAAAATGCAAGATTCCCAACCAAAAGAGAACAAATAAAACACTCAAGAGCTTTCTAAACTTCTAACTGTCGATATTTTATTGTCCATATGATACAGTACTAAATGAAAGGCTAATCGGCTCAAAGAGGGCACATGAGAAGCCACATCCATGCTGCACGCCTTGAGATCCCAAGAGACTGACCTGTTTTTTCTTTCAACCTCTTTGATGATTGATGTGATTTGGACCTTCTTCTTGGCTGTCCAAGGGCATATATTGTGCCATGATTGCTCTGATTTCAGAATCCATGTATTGCTGCAAAACCACCAACAAAATACCATTAACTTTGTCATTTATATGCAACAAAGTAAGCAAGTTTTGGGAAACTCGACACGCTGTGATGCTATAGAAATTTATCACTAAGCACCAAATAACATCATAAAAAATGAGAAAATGCAGCAAAGCTTACCCTAATTCTATATTTATACACAAGGAATCCCCCTCCAGCAATCATAGCCAAGGCAATCAAAATGACCCAAAAAGCAGCCCAAGTGGATTTTGCCTGACTGGCCGTTTTACCTGTAGATTACCCAGTAAGAGTATTACAATGAAAACATGTAAATGAAGAGTAAAAAACGGATAATTGTATATAACTCACTGATGCATGTATCCTGGTCTTTGATGTACAGAAGATCTCCACTACAACTGCAGTTATAGCTGCCCCAAGTATTCTTGCAGCTACATTCAGGGCACTGGCAAGCTTTCTTATCTTGGCATTCATCAATGTCTGTCAAGACGAAATAGATAACGTTCAACTTATGAATTCAGATTTTTAGTGAAAACATATAGTACTAGGTATCATCAAGTTCACAATGCTTTATCAAACCCATGAACTAGAAGACTCTGCGACTGCAACTATTTGACTGGTGATAGTAAGTTCAATTGCAATTTATCCAAGTATATAAGCCAATGTTAAACTTACTGAGATTTCAGCAACTCTCCAGTGAAACAAAGAGAGGAGACAATACATATTTGGATAAAAGAGGGAAGAAGACAACTTAGACCCAGGTTCCAGTATGAAGTATTAACTAATAATAGTATAAAACAGTAAATCATGGACTCGATTAATATTTCAGAGTTCAGACATATTTAGAGAAGACAATAAGACATTCAAGAATGAACATGTTCAGTTACAATTGTTAAAAGTATTCAACACAGAATCAAGGGTTCTATTCATGGTATACATAGTATTTATTTACTTGGGTGATCTGTAACATCAGTATATTCAGAAAACTAGCAGGGGCAGAATAGTAACAGCAAGAACAACACGAGCATCCCTCACCTTCACAATTTTTTACACCATCACCTTTAAACCCGGCAGGACACTGGCATCTAACTCCCCCATCATCCTGTTTCCACAACAATTTGTTTAGTAATTCAGTTCCAAATTTGGGATTTACAAGCCAATAGAACTTTAACCATTTAAACAAAAAAAAATTATTGGAGATAAATAAGTTGTGAATGTAGTTGGGTCAGGAAACTTAAAAGTTACTAACCACACAAGCAGAAAATGCATGGCCGTTCCGGGCATCATGCCAACAGCCTCCATTGTTAATCTTGCAACGCCCAGGTCCACTAACTGCAAACACAAAATAAGCTAGTTACACACAACACCGAGTGCACGCCGGAAAAAAAAAACACAGATGTCTCACAGCAAAGGATCATCATTACACCCTTCTATGCACAATACAGAAGTGAGGGCAATAAAAATTATACAGCAATAGTGAGCCCTCTTAGAAATCAATTTTATGTAAAGATGAAAGACATTTCACCTTCACAAGTTGTATAACCGTCTCCTTTGAATTGAACCCCATCAACCAAGGGGCATTCACATACTCGTCCACGGAATGTATCCTGAGCAGATACTTAACATTGTCAGAACATAGGAAATTATAAATCTGTAGTACCCTGTTATTAGATAATTTGTTTCATGAAGACAAATACCTTGCATGCAGTGATATTAGCTGTTTTATCCTGCCAGCAACCACCGTTGTTTGTCAAACATTCATTTGTTTCGACATCTGCCCAAAAAACATCAGTATGAGGTCTAAAAATTAGTCTACACAGCATATGCCCCCTGTAACAAAGGCAAGTAAGCAATTACCGTTGCTCAAACAAACAGCTGGGTCAGTAGTTTCCTCAAACCCGGAACAGATAGCCTTTAGAACGGCCCCTTTCTCCAATTTACCTGGAAAAGGTTCTTTTTAGAACTGGATAGCCGATTACTAATACAATCTATCACATGAGCATGTAGGACAAACCTCGATATTGTCTGTTATTGACAACAAGAGTAGGCAATATGGTAACATCACCACGTGATCCCTTCCCAATCTACAAAATCGGTTTCATTAAACATCAACAAGTAAATATAATGTTACAAAGAATTAAATATTGACGTAAACTAAAAGCAAGTATAAAGGACAATACTTGGGCATCTTGCTCTTCTTTCAAAATAGAATTTTCAGTATCAGCATCAGGATCTCCCATGCACTTGTCAATCTTTGCGGTGTCAAGACCTGCAGATATTTAATGAACATATTACATAGTCATTACCAACCAACCACTGCAAGAAAACATAATAAGCATGATGATTCACGCACCCAGCGATTTAATGACAGAATTTGCACATTCCTTATTGTACTTTTTCTCCTTCATTGGGCATCTAATTTGAAAATCAGTAACATAGTCCCACCACACCCAAGACTTTTCTGTTTCTTTTGCCACCTTGAAAACACATAGTTGCCTTAAATTTTCAACAACCACATCTTTCCCATCATAACCTGTGTTGAAGTCCTGCTCAGGATCCGGAGCGCAATATCTTCCATGGTTTATACATTGAGACTTACACTGCTTACTCAACGTAAATGCATGAGGGCAGTACCAAGTTATATAATGAGGCGTAAACTGAGTATAACCTCCTTTCTCTAAAATCTGTGCTGCACCCTTAAAATCCTTCAAAAATTCAATCAACATATCACATTTAACTCCACACTCATCATTACTATTCGTCCACAACTCATACTCAACACGATCATCAGGATGAGGAACAGACTCTCTCCAGTCAAGATTAACATTAACCATATCCCCACCACTGATAGCATCCTTCAACTTCTCACCAAAACTCTTTCCAACAAGAGCAGAAGGTATAGTAATATTCTCAATATACTTAGCAGAAGATCCATCCTCTTCCGGCGTATCCATAGTAATCAAAGGTTCCTCAATATCATCCGCAACAAGAACCGCAGAAGCTCCAGCCTTCTGAGCATTCCAAACCTTCAAAGCAAAGAAGCAACCTGCAGTAGCGCATGTGTAAATTGTGAACAAAATCAAAATTCCATTCATGTACTCAACAATTATGAAGCATGCAAATCAAACAAATGAATAATCCAAATTAGTAAAATTCTTAAAAAAGAAAGATCATGAATGAAGTAAAGTAAATTAAATTTCTTAATTCTTACTTCCACGATCGAGCAAAAGGATAGTGGGAAGAGCACCAGGACGAGATTTGAAAGATGAATCAAAGTCTTTACAACCCTTACTGTTATCCTTAGGGTAAACAACGTTTCCGGCCATGCTACCACCGTATTGAGGTATTCCGAAGTTCCCGATGGCGCTGTCGTGCTTGCCTTTGATTTTCTCCGGCGAAGTGACCGACAAACTGTTCTTCTCCACCACGAATCTCGCCGTTGACAGGCTAGTCAACATAAACCCTAGAAACAGAATCGCCGACAATCTCCAACGCTTCATTTTTTTTCTTTTTTTTTCAACTCAACAAATTTGAGATCAGAGAAATAACATGTGATAGTATCATAGTGTTATATGTTGAAGTTGCTGCACGCTAAACTCGTGATTAACTCACTTCATTACTATTTTAAATCCTGTTTACTACTACAATTATTTCTTAAACCCGGTTTTTTCTTTTTCGATTTTTATTGTATGAAACCGACGGAGTGTCAATTCTTTTTGTAAATTAGTAAAGTCATTATTAAAAATATATATATATGTTTTTGTAAACCCATGTATTTCCCTATATGGTGAAAGCGAAATATTATAATAATAATTTTTTTTAAAACAGAAAAAAAAAATTGTAAAATTTTTTTTAAAATTAAAACATAATGATATAAAATTATGTAATTAATCAATTTTATTAATCTATATTTTATATTTTATTAATAATTTTATTTTACTATTAAAATTATTTTTAATATATGAATGTTTATTAATTAACTTTATAATTTTATTAACTAATATTTTATATTTTATTAATCAACTTTATTTTATTATTAAAAATATTTTATTTATTACTAAAATATTTTTAATATTTGAATATTTATTAACTAATTTTTTTATTTTATTAATTAACTTTATATGTTTTATTAATCAATTTTATTTTATTATTAAAAATTATTTTTAATATTAAAATATTTATTAATCAATTTAATAATTAATTTTTTATATTTTATTAATCAATTTTATTTTACTACTAAAATTCATTATTCATATATCATTCATAAAATATTGTTCACGCTGATATCATTATTAATAACTATTGTTACAATACTGTTCAGATTATTATTCATATGTGTGAATATCGAATGCGGTGTATTTGTAATGGTTGGTATAGGAATAGCATACTTGTTACCAAAATAAGGGATGGCTGATTAAAGAATAGATTTTCCTTTAAAGAATTTAAGGAAAATTGAGTAATAGATCCGTAATAATATGTTTAAAGTCAATGATACAAGTGTTTCTGAAAACTAATTCGGTTGGCAATTATGTAGAGACACAGATTCAATATGTGATATTCTACCCGTTTATCTTTAAGAAATATGGAATCTTATTAAGCTCTATATTTCGCTAAACTCTTTGAGAAAAATTAATGATAAAAAGTAATTTTAATAATAATAAGATTCATTATTTATTGAGATTAAATTAAACACTGTCTACATAATAAAGTGATTCCTAAACCTAAAGTAGGGACCAAGTATGGAAGATTATATCAATGATAGTTAGATACAGAAAACATTTATGGGTTGGTTGGTTGGTTGGTTAATTGATTCCGTTTTGAAGATTTAAATATATGGGATTGATTTTAAATATATGGGATTGATTTTGATACGTCTAACTAAATTAATTTTGTCAAAATTAATTCCATCTTATAGGTTGGTTTGTTTTGATTTTTATAAATAAAATAAGATGATATATAAAAGATAAATTTTTAACTCAATTTCAACTCAATTCTTAGTAATAAAATAAAATAAAAGCTATTTTCAACTCAATTTTTACAAAGATAAATTTTAAAAATATATAATTTATATCATTGAAAAATAAAGTATAGTCAAAATCACATAAAATTATATTTTAAAAACAATTTACTATAGAAACTTATTCAAAATAACTTTAAGTTTAAGTATTTTTTTAAATCATAATAAAAAGATAAAATATTTAAAATAATATTTTATAATAAAATTATTTAAATCAATTTTTATTTAAAATTTAAAAAAAATGATAAACTTTCTTTTAAAATATGTAATACTATAAAAAATAATTTTCAAAATCATGTTTGATGGAAATTTATAAGAAGTCGAAATTGTTTTTAAATGTATCTAATTAGTTTTGACTGATTACTCCTAAATATAATTTATCTTATCTTTAAAATTAAATTTTTTGGACTTAAGTGGTTAATGAGTTTTCCTTAGAACGAATCGTTTGAAAGAACCTAAATTTGATTTTTAATAGAAACAATTATTGATCAGGTTTTACTTACCTCGTATGAATTATTAGGATTATTTTTCACTAGAAATCAGAGTGTTATCACAAACACAAAAGTTGAACTTATTTTAAAGTTGAACTTTTGATTTTAGAATTCACTTTTATACATATTTAATGTTCAAACCACTTTTATATTTATTAATTTAAATATAAATACTTTTATTTTTAACTATAATCAATTCACTAAAAACTTTTTTTTGCCAACCTTAAATTTGGTTTCACATTAGGAATTTTAAAATTAATTATGTGTGTTAGGCCTCATTTTAGGAAAGTGAAAAGTGATTTTAATGGTATAAATTTGATGAAAATTGTGGTTTCTATGCTATTAGAGATTTATTTAGATGTGTGAAGATTCATGGTCCTTGATTCTGATGTAATTAGATGGCGAAGTTTTTTTAAAACAATCATTTGTATTTCAAGGTGTTTTATGACACATTCTCAGAAGTTAGGAGTTCATTGTAAATCTCTAGCTTAGGTGTTCAAGATCATGAGAAATGAATAATGATTTCTGACATGGATTATCCTATTGTTTCTAGATACAGTGTGATATTGGTCTCATTGTCCCGTAACCTTAACATCACATTCTTCCCACATGTGTTGTCTCCATCTATGATATCGAGTTTATATAAACTATTGTAATTAGTTTTGTTAACAACGCTCTTTCAGTTCATGTGAAGTTGAAACAGAATTGTCCATTGCATCTCGTTACTAACCGCTGGAGAGAGAATTATGGTGAATGTGCAAGAGTGTGAGAAATATCATATGCGGGATGTAACGTCCTGGTTTATTTAAATAATTTTTTGTAATTAAATTGTGTGATATTGTGTGTTGTTTGGTGGTGTGTTAGGGGCTTGGTGTAGGGCGATAACCTTAGAAATTAGAAATAGAGATGTTGGGGATGTGTGAGCAAAAGTGTAAAACATGGGAGTGGTGCGATAATGTTATTACTATTATTGTTTAAATTAGAATTATTTAGATAAAACAATATTAGTAGTAATTGAATTAAATAAATAATTAGTTGGAATATTATTTATTTATTTAGTTGGGATTAATAATAATAGTAATAATAATAATAATAGTATATAATAAGAGAAATAAGGAATTGGTGAGTTAGATAGGGGTAGAAATAGGCTGGGTCGAGTTAGACTTTTCCAAGCTTAAGCCTAATCTGCTAAAAAAAACTGAAGTTTAAGCCTGACATGTAGTCTGTCATAGGTTTATTTTTAGGCTTGAGTCTGGCCTTTTCTAAAGTCTGGTTAGCCTGTTAGCCTACATAAAAGCCTATTATTTTCAAATAATATTTAAATAGACTAACAAACTAAAAAACTAATGCGACTAAAAGTTTGTTTGCATTGATTTATTTTAGCTAACCTTTTAGCATAAGTTTTGTGGGACTATTTGTTTAAGAGGACTTGTGAAAACAACTTATAACATTGTTCATAAGGTGTTTTCATCTTATTTTCATAAGTTCTCCAAGATAATCAAGTTTTATTTATGTATTTTGATTTAAAGTACGAAATATAATATAATGATAATAATAAAATTATTCATATTTATTTATATATGCCGACCTGTTAGGCCTAAAAGGCATTTTTTATGGCACGAGGCCTAACCTTTTTAACTAAATAGGCTTATACAAAGCCTAGTCCTTTTCTATTAAAAAAATAAAGCTTGGCCTGGCCGGAGACTATGTACGCTAGGCCGTAGGCCCTTGTTATCGGCCTAACCTATTTCCACCCCTAGAGTTAGAAGTGGCAGTACGTAAAAAGAAAATGAGAAGATGAAAAAATAAAGCTAGGGCTCAAGGGGAAAAACTCCAGTGTTAGAGGTTAAAAAACTCTTTGCTAGAAATACTAAGGTAAGAGTGGGATTCAAATTCTATAAGGGTTTGCATAATGATTTGTGGGTTGAGGATTATGATTGCTCTTGTTGGAATATTTTATCTCTATGTTTGTGTTCATCTAATTTTGGTTTTGAATGGATTGATGTATGATAATGTGTTTTTTGTATGTTGGATGAATTGGTATTTGGTGAATATTTGCGATGTTGTGTGTTGATGGGACTGAATATGTAGAAACTGAATACATAATACTTCATAAAAATTGGGATGGGACTGATTTTCGTACACTAACATAGTGCTGAAGCAGCAAGAAAAAAGTAAAGTATTATTTTATTGGGTGATATTTAGGTTATATCGTATTGTATCCACAGAGATTCATTATCGAGTCACCGTTTGACAAATTATTCGTTAATGAGTTTGGAAGTTTGAATGTAAAGGGTAAAAGTTATTAACAAAAAATAAATTCATTCTTCATAGGGAAAACTTATCAAGCATGCATATAATTCACTCCTCACAAAGTTAGACCTATCGACCAGTTATACTCAACCTACGATACTCATCAATGTCATCACATGTCAAATAAAACACCCATCGTATCACCTCGGTGGCGATCTCTCAATTAACCTCAACAATACAGATGTCAACCGTGCTAATCGCGTCGACAATCTCTCAGAGCGATACAATCAAGACAAAGGCATTAATCACAAACACCCAAGTGAATGTCAGCTCTAAATATATCTCTAGAATCCAAAAACTAACAGACTATCATCCTAGATAAGAATTCAAGCAGTATATATCTATAACAACCTAAATTCTAAGCACAGAGCAAAAATCTAGGACAAAAATCAACAAAGATTTATAAAGCAAGTTTTATATAACGCCATGGGCAATAAATATACATAAGATCAAAGTAAATACATATACAAACCCAACTAAAAGAGAATACACAAAGAAAAAGAGAAATGAACCACAAATCTCCCAGTTTGTTAGCGTCGATCAAAGAGCAATCCACCCCGGATCATCCGTATGCAAGCTTCATAGTTGTTATCTAAGCTAAACCTAGAGAAAATTGAGGGTTGGTGGAGTTGGGAGCAAAAAATATCCCCCAAAACCATAACCCTTACAAAAGAAATGA